TGGGGGAGCTGTGCAAAAAATACATCTTCGCACCGGCAGTCGGTGCGCTGGCCAATTATAAATTTTCTTTGACTCTACAAAATAAGCGTTCCTTCCATTCTTGCCACATATTGCATCCGAAAGTGGTGTTCGAAACTCTTCAGCATTTGATTGCGCATGCTAGTTTCTTTTGTACTTTGGCACACTTAGGCTATTTTCTTCATTAACCCTCTGCGCTGTCACACTTCTTTAACTTTTCCTTCGATATAATTGCAGGTAAGGCATTTCTGCCCCAACGTGCCAATAATATTGGTAGGTAATAAAAAAGATTTACGTAACGACAGTCAGACAGTCCGAGAGTTGCAAAAAATGAAGCAGGAACCAGTGAAATATGAACAAGGAAGGGCAATGGCCGATCAAATTGGTGCTACATCATATATCGAGTGCTCTGCTAAAACGAAAGATGTACGAAACATTGATTATTTTAACCGTTTGGATAAATGATGTAGAAATCTGATACCACGTCTCCCATTGGCATGCGACCACACGTATTTTGCGGACTAAACCTAAAATCAATCATGCCCTCCTTTTCATGCGTTTTTTGCATCTATGCAAAGAAAACGCATATTACAGAAAGGTTGTCTGTGTGTGTCTGTGTGTGCGTCTGTACCGCTTTTTCATCTCGAGAACTGGAAAAGCTGCAGGGCTGAACTTTGGGGACTTAATCTAAAAGCATGTACGGTCCACATCCCCAAAATGGGCGCTCTCACCCGCGTGGTAACTACGCACGGACCCGCCAAAGTTTTTTTCGGACAAGCTGCTAACTTGAGAACTTGAGAAGCTAGAAGGCTGAAAGTTTACGGGAATGTTCCCCATCCAAATAGGTATTAATGACTTCAAACCCAGTTCTTGGATATGCGTGGTACCTACGTACGGTCTCGTAAAAGTTTTTTTTGGGTAAGTTGCTGACTCGGGCACCTGAGAAGCTAGAAGACTGGGATTTTAAAGAGGTGTTCCTCGTCCACGTAGGTCTCAAAGAGTTCACAGCCAGTCCCCGGATGTGCGTGGTTCCTATGTACGGGCTCGCGAAAGTTTTTTGCGGGTAAGTTGCTAACACGGAAACTAAGAAAGCTAGGAAGCTGAAATTTTAAAAGGATGTTTTCAGACAGCCTTGGTAGCCAGTCTCAGTTTTCTTAGCTAGAAGCATCTTCAAGAAAAACCGGTGCCGTTGGCGACAAAAACCTGCAGGGAACTGTGCAAAAAATGCATCTTCGCACTGGCAGTCGGTGCGCTCTCCATTTGTTTGTGTTCGCTCTGGCTTATAGCTTCAGACCAGTAGTAAAGCTAGTTTTACAACTATTAAAGGGGCGAACTGAAACTGAGGATTTCAGCCGACCGAATAGGACGGTTTGATTGGTTTGCAATCATGACCTATAATCGCATGTTCGCATATAGGGCCATATTAAATCAGAATAACGAAGCAACTCAGGAATCCGAAATTTTGTTTTCCTGCGTGTGCTGGATCGATTGAATCATCATAAGCTCGTATCTCAGCTTCCTGTACGTATCGGCTTATGCACCAAGAGGTTTAACAGCAGCTCACTGTTAAAAGCGCACAACAGCAGCATCCCTCTAGTCTGCTATCGAAGTAGGAGTGAAAATCTGGCTGGAATATTATTTCGCACGGGA